AAAGATGTCCTGGAGGTTCCTAAGCCTCTCCTCATTTTATTTTGAATTCTTGTTTCTTCATTCTTTTCTGTTGGGTTTTTCTTCTTTCTGGTCCACTCCCTTGCTTTGAGTCCCAGTTTCCTTTCCATCACTATTGGTTTCCTGTGCATTTTGCTTCATTTCACTTAGTGTAGCCTTCATTTGTTCCTCCTATTCATGACTAAAATCAACCAATTCTGTGAGCATCCTAATCACCAGTGTTTTGAACTGTGCATCTGAAGGGTTGGCTATCTCTTGGTCACTTAGAAGCATTGGCTCTGGGGCTTTGAGCTGTTCTTCTTGAGCCATAAGGTTTTGGTCTGTTTGTGCCTGTTACATATGAGGGGCAGAGCCTTAGGTGTTCACTAAGGTGGGGCAGCCCAGGTTGCTGGGTTGTGACACCATATGTGGGGGCGGGGTCAGAGAGGGGCAGTGGCCTTTTTTTCTGCTCTCTCTGGGATTTTGGTCCCCTCTGCTGCTTCCCACAAGCAAATTGGGCCCTTCTGGTGCTAGTTCCCAGGTGTGTGTGCTTGTGTACTCTCCAGAACCCTGTGCGTCTCTCCAACAAACTCTCTGTGATCCTGGGAGCCTCTCCCGGCACCTCAACCCGGCAAGTTTTTCCAATTTGTGCTTTTAGGCTTTATTTCCTGTTATTGGGGCCCTGGGTCACGTGGTCTGTCTCACTGCTCATTTTTTTGTCTGGTTTATCTGTGTGAGAATGTGTGACCACGGTCAGCCAGCTGCCTTGAGCCATCAGTGGGTCTGCCCGTTGCCACCCCACACCTGGGATCTGCCTACCGCTGCCTGCACACCTGGGACAGTCCAGTCCGTTCCAGCCACTTTTTTTTTGCTGGGACTCCTCTCCACCAGCCTCTGACTCTGTCCCTCTTACCGGTGTGGCTGAATGGTTTGTTGTTGTCAGACTTCTGTACAGTTCAATTTTCTATCTGTTTTGGTTGCATTTTTGTTACTAAAACTTTGTTGTCTTTAAACTTGGTTGTGCGAGGAGGTATAGTGTTTCCACGTACGCCTCCATCTCGGCTGGAAGTCTCAAATAATAACTTTTGAAAATATTCACAACTTAAAGCAATCACATGTAACGAGGTATTTACCAAATATGATGTTGAAGTGAAGTATGACTTTAAAGAGCAGCAATGGAAGAATTAGGAAAGATCAAGAACAGCAAAAAATTGTCATTAAGGACAAAGGCTAAGATCATCTACCTCTTTGTATTCCTACTTACTATGTGCAGCTACAAAACTTGAATAGTGAAGAAGGCTGATAGGAAAAAAATTGATTCATTTGAAATATGGTGTTGAATGAGAACTCTATAGATACCCTGAACTGCCAGGAAGATGAACAACAACAACAACAAAAAGGTCCTAGAGCAAATTAAACCTGAAACATTGCTGGAGGCAAAAATGACCAAACTGAAGTTGTCTTACTTCATGCACATCAGGAGAAGGGAGGGTTCTCTGGAAAAGACAATAATCCTGGGGAAAATAGAAAGCAGGCGGCAGAGAATAGGAAGACCAAAGATGAGATAGGTTGACCCCTTAAAAAAGGCCATAGGAATGTGTCTACAGGAGCTGAGCAGGGCTGTTGAGGATAGGACATTGTGGATGACATTCATTCACAGGGTCACCAGGAATCTGAACCAGCTCAATGTCAGTTAACAACAATACAAACTATCTCACAAAAAAGGATAGAGAAAGAAATAATCTAGTGTGAACAAGATATTCCTCCTTCCTTGTTCTGTTATACTTATTTGTAAAGTCCAATTCATGCAATATTCAAGAAGCAAAGGACAATTCAACATAAACAATGTTGGGACCGGTGGGGGGATAATGCAGACAATTGTAATTGAACAACAATAAAGTAATTAAAAAAACAATGTCAAGTGGTGTGAGGGGAATGTGGAAATGGGGAGAGAGTTTTGGTTAATTGGTGTCTCACATGCAAACAATTAATTAGTTAAATCAGTGATTTTCAACAAGTGTGCCGCAAGAATTTTTAAAACATGCAATACCTGACTATTTAGTCAAGGGCACTGACCTCTTTTCCCTTAGGCTGTCAAATTTTAAAAGTTGATAACAGTCAACATAGTAATAATCATCCAGTGTGAATGAACCAAAACTATTTTTTATCACATAAGCAAAAAATAGAAAATATATTTTGGTGTGCTACAGAATTGTAGTAATTAGTTTATGTATGATGAAAAAGGTTGCAAATTGCTGGGTAAACTGATACGTTTCTTTTTTGAATTGTATAAAGAGCTTACATTTGATTTTCCCATTTGAAACCAAAATGGATTTGACATAACAACTATATCTTTAAATAAACCATAAGAAATAATATATGTGACTGTCTGCTTTCTCTGTCCTGGACTGTTGGTTGCCATGCTGAATCGTGAACTATCATCCCAGGCCTGAGAAACCATTCCTTTACAAGGAATCCACACAGACCTTAAGGGGCATTTCCTGTGGCCCCTTGAAATGGATTTGAGAGCTGGAAGGTCACTACAGATCAGTAGACAGTCACACAAGAAATTCTCCCATGTGAAAAGTGCTTCCACAGGAAACTATAATAGAGTTCAGATTTCTAGGAAGGTGCCCTTTCATATAGTCTCTAAAGAGGGAACACTTTTTCTCAGACCCTTGAGACAATATGGTTCTAGGCTTCTCTTGGCTTTGGGTTAGAGAATCTAGTTGAGTAATAATTAACAGGTACCATAATGCATTCACTCTCTTTCAAGTCTCTGGCATGCCAGCTTGGGGTCTTGAATTGGAGCCCAGTGCCATATCCACTTCAGCCTCTGTAGGTTGGTTAGCTTTGTCCTGTGTCACAGTGTCTAATTCTGAATAGGTTTACATGAAGGGGTATGGATAGATTAGCATATCTTTGTAATTACTGGAAAATAAATAAAGACAGCATCCTTTGATGTGAGGCTTGGAGTATCCTCCATGTAAATGGAGAACATTCTATTATTTTTGTTGATAAAAAGTAGATATTACGTAGAATATATTCACATAAACAATCCTACTTTCAACTTATTAGCACTTGAGTTGGCAGCTCCCACCATGCTATGCTCTCCCACTGGTTTTGCAAGTCAACAGTCCTCCGTCAGTCTATCAAGACCCCTCTTATCCCCCTTCAGGACTTTGACTTGACACACACTTCTCTTCTGTTTCTCTAAATCCCTCCCCATCCACCACCTTTTCCAACATCTCAGAAGGACACCACAGGGTCTTGGCATTTAACTTGTGAAAAGTCACCAGGCCTAATTGTATCAATGCCCCTACTGAATCCTCATACAATGAAATGATAGTTTAGTATGAAAAGCCCCATTGCTTTTGTAAATGCTGTGATAATACTCATTACATCAATACAGAGCAAGAAAAAGGAGCTCAGATTTAATCAGTTTTAATCTCAGTTATTTCCTAATATAAAAGACTGTAGGCCTTTTCACATTCTTTTGGAAGGATTAGTGAAGGCAAACATGAATAACAAATTGACATTTCTCAGTTGTGGAAGAGCCAAAAGCAATACAAAAGGAAGGCAGACAGATCAAATTTCTGAACAGAATTATTTTTCTAAGCAGAGTTTAAAAGTTAACATTAGGAACAAATGTTAAACAGCTCTGCGCAGTTATTTTTCTTTACCTGGAGCACATTTTGCCAAACAGTTAAACCGACAAGTTAGAAAGACACATCTTGATGCTATAGAGAGAAAGAACATTATGTGACACACATAAGAGAATTTTTTAAAAGAAGAGTATCCTGGATAACAATTTTTACATCCCTCTAGTCATTTCATTGTCTGAGATACTCTAAAACTAATGGTATCATTTTTCTAGTAAAGGATATGTCAATTCTCATCAATTCATTGAACATTAATTAGTGTTAAAGGATATTTTGAAATAATCGACTTTGGCCTCTTCACTTCATAAATGAGGAAGGCAAGATCCAGAAAGAGTCTCCAAGCCATGCAGTGTCACAAAACCAGAAATCAACAATTCAGCACTAAGACCTTGGTTTTCTGATGACTCATCCAATAATCTTTTCATTTACCATTGCCCTGCTCCTGAAGAAGGTTATATTTTATTGTTGCATAGTATTAATGTTCTCCTCCTCCATTATAACCCCATTCCAACTTGCTTTAGTATATCTTGACTCAAAATAGCAAGAAAAAATTTATTTCCATGGCCCTGCTTGTGCTAATGCCCCCCACAAAGCCACTAAGAAATGCTATAAATGTCAGGCCTACCCAAGCCCTTTGATAGCAATTCATATCTGACTAGCAGAATTATAAAATAAAAAGATCCCTAAGTGACTAGTTCCATGATGGGAGTGTGGATCCTAACACACTCCACCTACACCCTTAATCATAGACATGGATTTTAGTCCAAATCAGGATTTCTCAACCTCAGCACTATTGATATCTGGCACCAGATGATTCCTTGCTGTTGAGGCTTGCCCTGTGCATCATAGGATGCTTAGCAGCATCTCTGGATTCTACCCACTGGAAACCAGTAACACTCCATCCCTAAGTTGTAACAACAAAAAATGTCTTCAGACATTCCAGATGTCCCTTCAAGGGGCAATATCACTCCAAATTGAGGACCACTGGTCTAAATCCTTCAGCACTTCTCTATACCTTGACACAAAATAGGAACAAAAGCAGAGATGAAAAGTAGGATAAAAAGGAATTCACTGGCACCTCTGACTATGAACCTTCCTTGGCTGTAAGGCCATTTTAATGTTTTGGTGAAAAAGATGAAAGTTGTTTTAACCAACCATATGCCTTTTCTCACTCCCACCACACTTTTGCCTTCGAGTGTGTTCTCGTGGCCATGAAAATAGAGCCTGACTGTTTATAATTACTGTTTGTAATTATACTACTATTCTGTAGCAAATTTTGGAAAGAGTCAATTGGTGCATTTCCAACCTAAAATTCTCTTTCTCCTCTTCTCCCTTCCTTAGGCAGGAGTTTGAAGGGAAGGAAGGAATGGAAGAAGGCTTCATGTACTCAGCTCTGACCTTGTTCTGATGCCTGCACTCGGCACTGTCTCAGATCTCCAGGCAAACCTTCAAGCAAACCTTCATACATCACCTTGGCTCTGCCCCAACTTCATGCCATGAGGTTCTCATTTACCCAGCATTTTCACCCAACACCACAGAACTTTGGTGAATGATGGTTAGAACTCAACAATAGTGATGTAGGAATAGGAGTAGGGAAGAGGTAAATCCCCATTCTCACTCAAAATGAGTTATGATATTTTATTCATAGCTTGGGTTACTGTCCTAAACATGCCAATGACAGCCAAGCTATAGAAATTTAATAGAAATGTTTAATAGGTGTGGTTCTTATATAATTTCTTCTCTGGCTTTTTATAGATTGAAATATGATTAGCAAAATGCCCAGATCTGAAGTATAAAGCTCTATGATTTTTTACCTATGTATATGTTCATGCGATTGCTTCTCAGATCAAGATTTAGAACATTTCCATCACTGGAAGATTTCTCTTCCTCCACCCAGTTAATATTCACCCCTTACCTCCCAAAGCCAGCAGAATTGAGTATCTATCAGTGAAGACTGGTTTTGCCCATGTTTAGCATGTATTTAAAATGCACAATATGAGGAAAAAACCAATTACATAAATCATTATACCAATAACATCATTAAAAATAACTAACACATACTAAGTGTTGAGTATGTGCCAGGTACTGGGTCAAATGCTTTACGTGGACTTTTATTTCCATTTAATCCTAATAATACCTCTCAAATAGACATATCACTATCCAATTTACAAAGAAATTCAAGGTTAGAGAGGATAAAAAATTTACCCAAGGTCCAGCAGAGGTAGGACCTGGACCAAGTCTATTAAATTTTGTTTAATGTTCTTCATAAGTTCATGAGGTTTAATAGGAAAGTACATAGACTTTTTAGAGCTTGAACACAGAGGTGTATTCAGTCCTTCATCAAATGAGGAAATTGTAGGCGAGTTGAATGAAAACTCAGGTAAGACTCTTTATCTTTGTGTAAGATGTAGATATAACTTTGCAAAACAAAGCACTGCATAATAATAATTAAATGTTAACATCACTCCAAATTTTCATCTGATTATAATAAATGAATATAAAATAAATTTTTGAGTTGCAAAAAATAAAATACATAATATGTACTCTTTGTATGCATTTTCCACAGAATGTGTTTCTAAAGTTCACACATATAATCTTATGTGTTAGTGGTTTGTTCTTTTTTGTTGTTATGTAGTAGTCTATCACATAAATATACCACAAACCCCATTAATGGATATTTGTAGGGTTTTTAAAAAATACTTTGGGACTATTATGAATAGCACTGCAAAGAAAACATGTACAAGCCTTTGAATAGGTGTATTTGTTTCCCTGGGGTATATAATTAGGAGTGAAATTCTAATATTAACAAAGAAAATACCAATCATTAAACCTAATTTTTATATCAACATAAAGACTTCAAAGATACAATGACAGTCACTCATTTATTTTACATAAAGTAAAAACAGATGAACCATCTTTATTAACAAATCAGGAACAATATACTAATGTAGCTAACAGAAAGGTGAGCATAGAATTTGTCCTAAAATTTTGAGAAATGTTTTATAGTGAAAGAATACTATTAATATTTGCATTGGGACCATTTAATGCAGACTTTCCTGAGAGAACTGAGTCTTATGGTCACTCAAGCTAATTCTGCCTGAGAAGATGAAAGCTAGGGCCAGACATCTAATGTCAATTTCACAATGAACTTTTTTTTTTTACCTTGGTCAACTTGTTTAAGTCTTTGTCTTTTAATCATGACATTGGTCAGAATCTTCTTCACTAAAATTTTATAAATACTCCATAAAGGGTAAATCGTATATACTAAATCTCAAAGCCAATAGAATTGTCTAGGAAGAACTGAGGGTTGGAATGCAGAATTCCAGGGTTGAGACACATGCTTTTAAGAGCTTGGCTGTACCCTCAAGTAAAGTGCCACTCAGTTTATGAGGTTCTCTCTTCCCTTTCATTTTCTCTCCTAGTTCTGAATCCATGTTGGCTTAAAATTAGTTTAGGCTAGCCACATATACTCTATGTTATTTCACAGAAAAGAAGTGAACTACAGATTACATCAGAGGTTGAGACACCTTAGGCAATATCTTTCTTTTTCATGCTTTAGTCACTGGACTTATTGTGTGATGAGAATCCTAGAAGCACAATGTGACAGCGCCTGAAATCTTCACTAAATCAAATAGCATGAAATTGTTTCATCTAGCTGACTCTCAACATTGGATGGAGGGGGATTGGAGTTACCCATGGAAGCTGATGTTTTTAGCCTTATGTGGGAGAACAATGATGCTTTTTTATTTCTATCATGTTTAAAAGCTTGAAAGCAACATAACACAATAATCATAAAGTTGCAATGCCTTTTGAATACAAGGGACTGCCAGTTTTTACAGGCATTTAAAACTACATTTGTCTTTCACTCACCTATAAGCAGAACCTAATCAACAAAACAAACAAGCAAGCAAAGTATAATCAGAGACACTGAAACAAAGAACAAACTGACAGTAACCAGAGGGGAGGTGGGAGGCGAGAGGGTTAATGGCAGAAAATAGGGGACGGTCCATCAAGGGAACATGTATAAAGGACACATGGATAAAGTCAAAGGGGGTAGGTTCAAGGGTGGGAGGTGGGGGGCTGTGGGGGGTGAAAATGGAGACAACTGTACTTGAACAACAATAATAAAATAATAAAAATAAAATAAAACTACATCTGTCAAAAACTGGTATAACATCTCTCGAAAGAGAAACAATATATACTGGCTACATTTAGAAAATTCCCAGTTTACTGCATTGAAATGAGGAGTTGTATAGAAAGAGTAAATTTAGGTAAAATGATCTGAGATTAAGGACATTGTATTTCCTACTGCAGGAAGCAGCCATTCCAAGTGAATTAATATGGGACTCATAGCCTATTACAAAAGTTTAGGTTAGAAAAAGGACTAGAAATATAGGATAAGATTAAAAAACTAAAATCACATTTATAATATAAATTTCTTTTGGACAAATCCTTATTTTATAAAACCATCATTATCTTAATGCTAAGGTTATATTTTCTAACAAAGTTTAAAACATTTTTGGCTAAGTCTCTATCTTCTAGCTGATATAAAAAACTAACCAATGTGGTCACATTTTTATATTCTAATAAAATCTGTATCTATACTAAATGTCCAGTGAAACACTCAGGGACATTTATCCCAGAGAGATGAAAATTTGTGTTCATATATAAATCTGTACAAAATATTCATAGCAGCTTTATTGTAATAGTAAAAAAGTGGAAACCCAAATATTCATTAACTGATTAACAGATAAACAAATGGGTATGTTCATACTATGGAATACCATTTAACAATAAAAAGGAACAAACTCTTGAAACATGCAACAATTTAGATGACTCCAGATAATTATCTAATTTCAAAAGGCCATGTATTGTATGATTACATTTAGGTAAAATTATCAAACTAGGTAAATTATAGATGGAGAACAGACTATTGGTTGCCAATGGTTAGATATGGTGAGGGGCAGTGGGTAGGACCCTAAATGAGGAGTACCATGGTAGTCATGGCACAGTTTTGTATCTTAATTGTGGTGGTGGTGGGTGGTTACACAATTTATAAATGTGATAAAATGAAACTATACACACATTGAACCAATGTCAATTTCAGGATTTTGACATTGATGTGTATAAGATATCATGACTGGAGGAAACTGAGTATATGTATGGTACATGGGATCTCTGAATTATTTTTTACAGCTCCCTGTAAATCTACTTATTTCAGACGAGATCGGGCGTGTTCAGGGTGGTATGGCCATAGACTTATTTCAAAGTCATTTTTGTCTTTTTAAGTATATTTTATTTTATTTATTTTTTAAGTGGGATTCAAAATGTAAAAATTAAATTTATTTATTTATTTATTTATTTATTTATTTATTTATTTATTTATTTATCTTTAGAAGGGAAGGGAAGGAGAGAGGGAGAGAAATATCAGTGTATGGTTGCCTCTCGTGGGTCCCCTGCTGGGAACTGGCCTTAAAAAAATGAGGAGAGGCTTAGGAACCTCCAGGACATCTTTAAATGCTCCAACATCCGAATTATAGGAGTACCAGAAGGGGAAGAGGAACAGCCACAAGTGGAAAACTTATCTGAACAAATAGTAAAGCAACAAACAACAAATGTTGGAGAGGTTGTGGGGAAAAGGGGTCCTTAGTTCACTGTTGGTAGGATTGCAGACTGGTACAACCATTATGGAAAACAGTATGGAATTTTCTCAGAAAAACAAAAATCGACCTGCCTTTTGACCCAGCAATTCCACTGCTGGGATTATATCCTAAGAATCCTAAAATATCAATATCAAAGAACCTATGCACCACAATGTTCATAGCAGCACAATTTACAATAGCCAAGAGTTGGAAGCAACCTAGGTGCCCATCAGTAAACGAATGGATCAAAAAATTGTGGTACATATACACAATGGAATTCTATGCAGCAGAGAGAAAGAAGGAGCTACTACCCTTTGCAACAACATGGATGGAACTGGAAAGCATTATGCTGAGTGAAATAGGCCAGGCATTGAAGGACAAATACCATATGATCTCACCTTTAACAGAAAGCTAAATAACAAAATAAACAAGCAAACAGAATAAAAACAAAGACACTAAAATAGAGAACAAGTGGGCAGCGACCAGAGGGGAGAGGGAAGGGAATTTAAGGGGAAAAACGAGGAGGGATTTTGAAGAACAAGTATGAAAGACACAGGGATGAGGTCTGTGGGGAGGGGGGGCATGGGAGGGAGGTGGGGAGACGGGGCGGAGGGGGTTGGGATGGGAGAAATTGACAAAAGAAAACTGTACTTGAAAAATAATAAATTTAAAAAAAGTATATTTTATTTTATTTATTTTTTAAGTGGGATTCAAAATGTAAAAATTAAAATATTTATTTATTTATTTATTTATTTATTTATTTATTTATTTATTTATTTATCTATCTTTAGAAGGGAAGGGAAGGAGAGAAGGAGAGGAATATCAATGTATGGTTGCTTCTGGTGCATCCTCTGCTGGGAACTGGCCCCTGCTTGGAACTGGCCTGCAACCCAGGCATGTGCCCTGACAGGGAATCGAACCGTGATCTTTTGGTTCACAGGCCCGTGCTCAATCCACTGAGCTACACCAGCCAGGGCTAAAATTTTTTAAAACTGTTGTTCAAGTACAGTTTTCAGCCTTTCTCCCCCACCCCAGCCCACTCCCCTAGCTCTCCCCACCTCCCTCCTGTTTCCATCCCCTCCTTGTTATTGTCCATGTGTCCTTTATACTTGTTCCTGCAAACCCTTCCCCTTTCCTCCTGAAATTCTCTCCCCTCTGCCCTCTGGTCACTGTCACCCTATTCTCAATTTCAGTGTCTTTGGTTATATTTTGCTTGCTTATTGTTTTGTTGATTAGGTTCCTGTCAAAGGTGAGATCATATGGTATTTGTCTTTCACCACCTGGCTTATTTTGCTTAGCATAACATTTTCCAGTCCTATCCATGCTGTCACCAATGTTCCTAGCAGCACAATTTACAATAGCCAAGTGCTGGAAGCAAACTAGGTGTCCATCAGTAAATGAATGGATCAAAAAAGTATGGTACATTTACAAAATGAAATTCTATGCAGCAGAAAGAAAGTATATTTTATTGATTATGCTATTACAATTGACCCATTTTTTTCTCCTTTTATCTCCCTCTACCCTCCACCCCCTACTTCCAGCATCTCCCCCCCGCCTTAGTTCATGTCCATGGATTATACATATAAGTTCTTTGGCTTCATTTCCCATACTATTCTTAACCTCCCGCTATTTTGTGCCTACCAATTATGCTTCTTATACCCTGTACCTCCCCCCACTCATTCTTCCCTTCCCCTTTCCCACTGCTAAACCTCCACGTGATCTCCATTTCTGTGATGCTGTTTCTGTTGTATTGGCTCCTTAGTTTTTTTTTTTTTTTTAGGTTCAGTTGTTGATAGTTATCAGTTTGTTGTTATTTTACTGTTCATAGTTTTTTATCTTCTTTTCCTTAGATTTGTCCC